CATGGATTATCAAGGACAAGGCCCTTTTTATTGAAAGGAAAATTTATAGCCATGTCACCAGGAAAGCAGGTGTCTGATCCAGCTACCATATTCATTAGGACTTAACACCAATGAAACCCACAAACTGAATAACCAACCCTTAGAGGGCCAGGGTCACACCAGACAGTAGAGGAAGCAACTTAGCTACCAGCTGTGCACAAAACTACCCCCAATAAGACAGTTGCCCAGTGCTCAGAGGTCCCAACACATCCCTTTGGGACCATATCCTTTTGCAGATTGGCAAATGGGTTTTAGCCAGATACCCGAGGTCATGGGAAACTACACACTGGTTCTGGCTTTTCTTTTTTCCAGCTGGACTGAGGCATATCCCTGAAACCCAGAAAAATCTCCAAGTGGCTTCAGTTTACATAAAGACATTATTCCCAGCTCTGGAATGTCTGACTCCTTAAGGAGATAATGGTCCTGCCTTCATCTCCATAATAAAGGAGTGGGGAGGGGCTGGAAGGGAACAGAGTTCCAGTTCACTGGAACTGTACACCACCCAGACACCTTGATTGACAGCTAATGGAAAGGGTAAACTGCAGAGACTTCAGGGTTGGGAAAATGACTCAATGGGTAAGAGTGTATGCTGTTCAGGTATGAGGACTTAAGTTGAGATCTGCAGATCTCCAGGCTGTAAATGTTATGATATGCGGTGCTACGGAGACCTTGGTAGATCCCATGGCTGGTGAGACAAACCCGCTATGTAGGCAATTTTCCTTCCTCAAGGGGTGTGATGCACTGTAAGCACTGAGCTGTTTGCTAATTATGACCTTTGTGTCTTAGTCTTTTTTTTTTTTCCCATCAATCAGTTTTTTGTCCTGTTCATCAGCTCCTCCTGCTAAGTTATCATGGTTAAGAAAAATGTGAGGCCAGGCTAGCCTGGGTGAGGCTCCTTCCTCAAACCTCCTATGAGAGAGGAGGCCTGGCCCCTTTGTTCTAGGCTCTGCTGAGGGGAAGTGGGGGCAGGCTGAGCCCACATCCCAGGAAATCAAGCCTGGTGTCTTAGTCTTACTATATGGGCCTGCTCCCTTCATCTGCTTCCAAAAGGGAAGGTCCTGATGTCTTTTTCCATTATATGGTATCATGCTGACTCCTCTACACTTACCAAGTGAACTCTTGCCCTTAACGGCCTCAGGCTCAGGACCTGGACTGTAGGACCTTTATACTTAGGGTGAGGTGTGTTCAGTTATCAAATCTTCAACTTTTCCGTTCTTCATGTAATCAGGAGGGCATAGTGGCGTTCCTGTGTGTAGAGTCCTGACACTTTATGGTTTCGAAGTGGCAGGGGTTTTTTTCCAAAGAATTATTTAAAGAGGCTTCCATTTTATACATTTTCTTTTCTTTCTCTCTCTCTCTCTTTTCTTTTTTTTTTGAGACAGGGTTTCTCTGTGGAGCTTTGTAGACCAGGCTTGCCTCTAACTCACAGGGATCTGCCTGCCTTTGCCTCCAGGTATACATTTTCATTCTTCAAAGTCAACAAAATTTCCCAAAGGAAAAGGCATAAGGGAACTCCATAACACATAGTGAGAATCATTAAAGATGTAAGTAAGAGGGTGCTGGGAAATCGTCATCCACAAAGTCAAAATACTGAATTTGTCAAGCAGCAATGGTTGCTATGCAGTCCACACCGGACCCAAGGATCAACTAATGAGAAATGGATGGGCCCTTATCGTGTGCCCCTAACCACTCTCACCCTCGAGTTTTAGTTATGTTGTGGAGTCACATCTGAATGAGAAAGACCACCAGGCAGACTCTACTCCCTGGTTACTTGCAGATCGAGGCTGGGTGACATTCCTAGAAGGCAAGACTGATCTTAAGCCACCATGAATGAGATCACAGTTGCTTTTAATTTGTTCTTGTAGCTCAGACTGAGCTCACTGTAGTTCACTGTGGATGTATATGGTACTTACTGAAGTCCATCATTAGGCTGTAACAGGTTTTCTTGCCCCCTCTGTATCCCCCCCCCCCAGTCCCCATAAGTTTCTCCCTGATGCAGTACGCCAGACCAAACTGAATTGAAAAAGTGTAACAGGTTTATTGAGAGCAACTCCGGGACAGGTTCTCTGGTCCCAGAGATAGAGGCCAGAGAAGTCACAGCCCCAACTACAGATTTTATAGGTTGTAGGCAAGGGTTTATGATATGTCTGCCACAAGCTGGGTTTGTGCCCAAGTACAGTCAAAAGCTGAGTTCACAGGCAGGGACTAGGATGGCTGGTGACTTCAGGGGGGCGGGCAAGGGAAGCTGCAACAACAGCTAAGTAACTGTGCTTTTGGACTCTTTTTTTTTTTTTTTAAAGATTTTATTTATTATTATGCATACAGTGTTTTATCTGCATGTTTGCCTGCCGGTCAGTAAAGAGCATCAGATGTCATTATAGATGATTGTGAGTCACCATGTGGTTGCTGGAAATTGAACTCACGACCTCTGGAAGAGCAGCATAGTGCTCTTAACTTCTGAGCCATCTTTCCAGCCCCCAATAATATTTTTTAGGTTTTTCTTTGTTTTTGGAAACAGGGTTTTTCTGTGTAACAGTCCTGCCTGTCCTGGAATTCACTCTGTAGAGCAAGCTGGCCTCGAGCTGAGATCCTGCCTCTGTCTCACAAGTGCTGGGAATAAAAGCGTGCATGATCACTGCCTGGCAGCACCTTTTCTTTATTCAGAGACTCCCTGAGTAGGTGGGGTTTGGAGAGGTGGAGTAGGGGGTGGGGCATTCCAAACTGTGCAGGTGGAGCCATATACAGGCTTCAACAGTAGGCTTGAAACAAATAGGCTGCTCTAGAAAAACTGCAGTACTCTGAGAGAAAATTTCTTTTTTTTTTTGGTTTTTCAAGACAGGGTTTCTCTGTGTAGCTTTGGAGCCTATCCTGGCACTCACTCTGTAGACCAGGCTGGCCTCGAACTCACAGAGATCCGCCTGCCTCTGCCTCCCAAGTGCTGGGATTAAAGGCATGCACCACCAACACCCAGCAAAGAAAATTTCTATTTGGCTCAGGAATGTGAAACTTTCTCACTAACTGGTGAGAACTACGTCCTCTTTTTCAAAGTGGAACCCTACAATATTTATACTCTAGGTGAGGGAGCCAAGAGCAGTCAATGTCAGTCATAGGATAGACAAGCTTGGCTACAAAGGAGGGCTGCCTATGTACTGAAAAACTAAACGACTCTCAGAGTTGCCAGAATAATGAGCTGTATTATCTAACACATGTGGAATACAACTGTCTCACACCACTTCACTCCTGGGAGCCACAAACAAGAGTCTCACCATACCTTGGTTGGTCTGGAGCTCACCATGTAGACCAGGCTGGCCTTGAACTCTGCCTTGCTGGGATTAAAGCATTGACCACCACGCCCAGCCACAACTAGTTTTAGCTGAGTACACAGCAGCCACCTTTGATCATGGCTCAGACTCACTCTGCCATTCCAGAAGCTCCTCTGTGCACATACCAACCTTTCTTCAGTTTCTAACTCAGGCCTTACCCAGAGTCACAAAAAAGATCTCAAGAATGAAGCCTATGTGAGGCCTATGTATGTTCTGAGCTGGGTGGAACTGCCATATAAAGGAAAGTTGTTCTGAGCCTTGTTCCTCCTCACAAGCAAGGCATGGTGGCATACACAATCCTAGCATTGGGGAGGCAGAAGTTAACTATGAGTTCAAGGATAGTCTGGTCTACACAGCAAGTTCCAAGACAGAGCTGTAACTCATTGCAGCCAAAATCAAGCAAAAATACTGTATAGGCTAGCTGATGGGGATGTCCTTCTGTATATGTTTCTCTTATTGGTTGATGAACAAAACAGATTGGCCAGTAGCCAGGCAGGAAGTATAGTTGGGGCTACTAGACCAGAAGGCTGGGGAGAAGGCAGAGGGGTTGCCAGAGAGATGCCATGCTGCTGAAGGAGCAACATGCCAGATTACAGCAAAGTCATAGCCTTGTGGCAATACATACATTAAAAGAAATGGGTTAATAATTAAGAGAAAGCTAGCCAGTAAGAAGCCCTAGCCATTGGCCAAACAGTTTAATATAGTGTCTGTGTGTTTTTTTGGGGGAGAATCGGCTGCAGGACCAGATGGGACAGAAATTCCATCTTCAGCTAGCCAGATGGTTCATTGGTATAGGTACTTGCTGCCAAACCAATGACCTGAGTTCAATCCCTAGAACCCAAATGGTAGAACTGTTAGTTGACTGCTGCCAAGCTGTCCTTTGACCTCCACACATGCACTGACACACATATACACCCACACAAAAAAAGGGTAATATTATCAAGAGGCAACATATAGAGTTATGAATAGGAAATAATGAACTTCTTGTTTAGGTTTGGATCCTGTGGTGGCTTCACTGAGAACCATCCATGGGCTCATGTATTTGAGTATTTGGTCCCCAGTTGATGGAACTGTTTGGGAAGGATTAGGAGATGTGCTACTAGGGGTGGGCTTTAAGATTTCAAAAGCCCAGGGCATTCCCAGTCAGTTCTCTGCCTACAGATATAAGCTCTCAGCAACTGCTGCAGCACCAGGCCTGCCCACTGCCATGCTCCTTGCCATGACAGACATGGACTCATCCTCAAAACTGTAAGCCGCCAATAAACTTTTTCCTCTTATGAATTAGTCATGGTGTTTCTTCATAGTAATAGAAAAAGAATAAAGGCTGCTCCCATCCTAAGATAGTTCATGGCATATAATATTTTAAAATATGAAACCCCTTTGTCTTAGAATTTTGCATAAGGGACTCAACTCAAATTTGAAGTCACAGGAGGTCAAAGGCACTAGAACTAATGTTTGAAAGACCCACGTTTGCAGCCCATCTGCTCAGTGCTACTGATTAGTTATTACTGATTATTTGTCTCCTTTCATCCCGAGTCAAGAAGTTTCCACTTGAATGCAGGAAACAGCCTGGCCAAGAAGATCTGGTGAGAGAAGAGTACCCAATCAACTTCTACATTCAGAACTCCAGAAACACACTGAGTATCACAAAGGTTTATTTAGCAAAAAGTTTCTTATGAAAATGTACATGACCCAATTATACACCCCAGTCAAACAGTCCTTTGGGGAAGGATGTGAACTCCTCTGCTGAGCAGCCATTGTTCAGACTCTTTCCAAGGCTTCTAACATGATGATGCTGTTTCCTCGTATGACCTAAAGAAATCAGTTGAAAAGAATAATTCATTTAAATAAATCTTTTTTAAAAAAAGATTTATTTATTTATTTATTATACAGTGTTCTGCCTGCATATATCCCTGCAGTCCAGAAGAGGGCACCAGACTACATTACAGATGGTTGTGAGCCACCATGTGGTTGCTGGGAATTGAACTCAGGACCTCTGAAGAACAGCCAGTGATCTTAACCTCTGAACCATCACTCCAGACCATATAATACCTTTTCAACATGGCACATCAGCGAGGTTTTTCTCAAGCCACAAAGACCAACTTATTTCTTTCTTTCTTTCTTTCTTTCTTTCTTTCTTTCTTTCTTTCTTTCTTTCTTTCTTTCTTTCTTTCTTTCTTTCTTTCTTTCTTTCTAGACAGGGTTTCTCTGTATTGCTTTGGAGGCTGTCCTGGGACTCACTCTATGTATTCCAGATTGGCTTTTCTCACTGTTCTCTTGCCTCAGCCTCCTTAGTGATAGAATTGCCGATCTGAACTGTCACACCTGGCCTAAAGAAACATTTGTAAGTACCAACGAGAGTGGACATAAACTACAAATCCTTTTATTAAAGTCCAGGTATGAGCCAGGCAGTGGTGGCTCGAGCCTTTAATCCCAGCACTCGGGAGGCAGAGGCAGGAGGATCTCTGTGAGTTCGAGACCAGTCTGGTCTACAAGAGCTAGTTCCAGGAGAGCCTCCAAAGCCACAGGGAAAACCTGTCTTAAAAAACCAAAAAAGTCCAGGTATGGTAAGGCTTGCCTATAAATTAGCACACAGTGAGGCAGAAGGATATAAAGCTTGAGGACACCATGGTCCACATATCATTACCACATCTTTTTTGTTTTTGAGATAGGGTTTCTCTGTATTGCTTTGGAGGCTGCCCTGGCACTCGCTCTGTAGACCAGGCAGGCTGGCCTCGAACTCACAAGATATCCATCCACCTGCCTCTCTGCCTTCCGAGTGCTGGGATTAAAGGCATGTGCCACCAACACCCGGCCCAAGTTAATTTTTAAATTAAGACATGAGTGAGGTATGGTGGCACACACTTTTAATCCCAGTAACTCAGAGGCAGAGAATCTCTCGAGTTCCAGGCAAGACAAGGATGCACAGTAAAATTCTGTTTTAAGGAGAGGAGAGGGGAGGAAAAAGCCAAAACAAGCTATTCTAATAGGCCTATTAGAAGAGACTGATAGCAAAATAGAAAAAGGGGTCTACCTTTACCCTGATACTACCCAACCTTAACAAAACCAAGGGGTTGGGCACTCAGCTCAGTGGATGAGGTCCTATTTTCAACATAGGAGGTGTGGTAGTTTGAATGAAAATGGCCCCCACAGGCTCATAGGGAGTGCTCAAGCCAGGCACTGTTGCTTCCTGCTACACATGGATCCAGATGTAGAACTCTCAGCTCTGGCACCATGCTCCCCATCATAATGATAACAGACTAATACCTGTAAACTGTAAGTTCTTATATTTGAGGATTACAAAAACCTTTCTTTTGTGACCACATTTTGTAGGAGAGTCCATGTCTAACATGAAAGCTCAGCTGCATATGGTGGCTGCTGAAGCCTATAATTCCAGCCCTTTCATAACTTGTAGCAAGAGTACCCTGAGTTCCAGGCCAAATAGCCAGACCCTATCTTAACCCCCACCTCCCCGTTTGCCATTCAGGTTTATCTTATTTTTCTGTCATGAATGGCATGTTTATCACCCAGGCTAAAATGCAAGGTAATGCCTGTGTGTGTTAGGTAAACATTATAACACTGAGCTACATTCCTAGGCCCCAAACCTGTATTTTTCCTGATTATTTATTTTCAAAAAGATTCTATTCATTCATTCATTCATTATGTATATAACATTCTGCTTCTATGTATATCTGCACACCAGAAGAGGGCACCAGATCCCATTACAGATGGTTGTGAGCCACCATGTGGTTGCTGGGAATTGAACTCAGGACCTTTGGAAGATCAGTCAGTGCTCTTAACCTCTGAGCCATCTCTCCAACCCCCTGATTATTTATTTTATACAATTTTTTTTTACTGTGTCAAAGTTTTGACTTCATGTATGTACACGCACCATGAGCATGCCTGGTGCCCAAGGTCAGAGGAAGGGACTGGATTCCCTGCAACTGGGTTAAGGATGATTGGCAGCTGCAGTGTGGGTGCTAGGAATCCAGCCTCAGTCCTATATAAAAGCAACCAGTGCTCTCAAGAGCTATGCCAAGGGCTGGAGAGGTGACTTAGTGGTTAACAGCATTGGCTCTACCTGTACCTCCAGTTCTGGAGGACCTAATACCCTCTTCTGGACTCCACAGGCACCAGGCATACACATGGTACACAGACGTATATGTAGGCAAAAGTTTAAAAATGGTTTCCAACAGCTGGCTGTTTCAAGCTCTATGCTGAGAAAACTCTAAATTAAGAGATGAGATCTTATCCACAGGTACTTGGAATATTCTCACAGCTGAATGTGACCACACATAAAAGGAAAGAGGAATTACAAAGTCCCAATCTTTCCTTTTGTTTGTCTTTCAGAGGACAACAAACTTGAGTTTAATATGAGAAGTTGATATAACGGAAGTGAAGACACACACACACACACTCACTCACTCACTCATTCCACTTAACTTACCACCATGCCGATGTTATTCTGTTGTCCACTAGTTGCCATCTCCACACACTCATCAATCACAAGATTCATAAAGGGATCAAAGCCCCGTAGTATTCCTTGTACGTGTCTGCCACCATTTAACTTCACTGTAAGAAGGAAAAAAGAAGTTTCAATAAAGCCCTCCAATTGTCAACCATCCATCACAGATCGGGAGGGAAAAGACAGGTTGTTGGAATGTGAGACCCTTACTCCATACCTTTACTATCTGCCCAATACCAGGCTAATATTTTAGTTATTCTTTTCCTACATTTTAGCCTTTAAGACCCTATGAAGACATTACATGTGTTGTCTCATGACTATGATTCCAGCACTTGGCATAATGAAGGAGGACTGATTCAAAAGGAGTTTGAGACCAGATTGGGCCATATAACAAGACCCCATGTCAATCAATGATTCCCCACCAATAAAACCTCCCCAATGTATATAAGTAAAGTAGTATTATCTTTACACAACGGAATCGAAATTCCAAATAGCAGGGTTCTAGGCTAAGAGCTGTTGTTTAATAGATCAAATAAAGACTAAAATCCTCTTATTTTAAAAACTCAAATATATACTACAATGCACGGGGTCAGGTTTCTAATTAAGTCTGTATTTCCTACACATTCACAAGAAACAGCAGTGGCTGCTTGCCTGACTCCTTGGTAGCTTGTTTAAAGGAAAAACAGTTGATAAAGTTTCAAATATTACAACACAGGAAACTCCTAATTCTGTCAATGTCAGGGAGGCACAGATGAAATAATCTGAAGTTTTAGGTATTGGCAAATGGAAATTAGGCAAAGAAAAAAAAATGTCCAACTAGAACTCTAGAAACCTGATTAATGGAGATGAATCAGACGGTTTTGGGTACTTTAAATTTTACTGTCTCCAAAAGATTACATACTGCTAAGACAGGCAAAAAGAAACTGAGTAACTGACGTGGTGGCAAACTTACATGATAACTTCTTGTCCATAAATCTGAAAAACAAAGAGTAAAAATTATGATTTACTTTAAAAATTCTAAGCATAAACGAGCACAGACTCAGTTAAATTAAAACCGTATTCTGGGGTTGGAGAAGATGGCTCAGACGTTAAGAGAGCTTGATGCTCCTCCAGAGGACCTCAGATCAGCTCCTAGCACCCATGTCTATAACTCCAGCTCTAGAACATTCCAGGGCATCTGTGCTCAAATGCACACACCTACACATACACACCCACTCACACGTACGTCTCAAAAATATTTTGCTTGGAGCAACGGTGGTATATGCCTTTAATCCCAGCACTCAGGAGGCAGAGGCAGGTGGAGCTCCGTGATTTGAGGCCAGTCTAGTCTAAGTTCTTAGACACTTAGGGTTGTTATACAGAGAAACCCTGTCTTGAAAAACAAAAAACAAAACGAAACAAAAAAAGAAGCTAAAATCTGGGCTGGTGAGAAGACTCAGTGATTAAGGACATTTACTGTCAAACCTGATTTTGATTCCTAGAACCCACATCTTGGAAGCAGAGGACAAATTTCTTATTCTCTGACCTCCATACCTGATACATGTACACACATACACAAACTAATGTAAAAAGTAACTCTTTAGAATTTGTACAGCAGAAATACAATATTTCAAACAGTAAAAATCCTGTTTGTTTCTGTGTATGAGTGTATGTGTACCGGAACAGTTTATCAGTGGCCAGAAGAGCATCAGATACCCTAAAACTCCTCATAGACAGTTGTGAATTTCCCAAGGTTGATGCTGAGAACTGAACTCAGGTCACTCTTAACTGCTGAGTAACCTCTCCAGCTCCCAAGTCCCATATTGTTATGGGTCAGTATATTTAAATTATTTTAATAGGCAATACAGTGAATATTTACATTAATATAAAGATTTGGTGTCATTTTGGTTGTTCTAAAATAACAAAACTATTACCTAATTCAGCAAGTACAGCTAATGCTGGCCTGAAATCCTGTAGTCCAAACTGACCTCAATTTTGCAATCTTCCTGTTTCAGCCTCTTTAGTGTGTGTGTGTTATTATAGGGGTGTCTGACAATAGCGTTTTATTTAACAGTAAAGCATTAAGATATTAGTGAAATAAGTGCATATTTTGAAAATGTAACAGGTTACATATGAAAGTTTAATTTTATAAAGACATATAAGATCATTAAGACATGCTGTCAGGTCACTTGAAACTTAGTAATTTACATGTCTGTGTGAATATATGTTATGTATGAGTGGATATTTAAAGGGGCCAGAAGAGGGTGTCAGAGACCTTGAGAAGGTAGGAAGCACTCATGATCACTAGAGCCATCTATCTCTCTAGTGTCCAAATCAGCTCTTTTTTTTTTTTTTTTTCTTGTCTAGCTCTGTAGACAGGGCTGGTCTCAATCTCAAAGAGATCCCCCTGCCTCTGCCTCCCGAGTGCTGGGATTAAAGGCATGCATCACCAATGCCTGGCCAAAAAATTTTTTTTTTGAGACATTTTTTTTTTTTTTTTTCTTGTCTAGCTCTGTAGACAGGGCTGGTCTCAATCTCAAAGAGATCCCCCTGCCTCTGCCTCCCGAGTGCTGGGATTAAAGGCATGCATCACCAATGCCTGGCCAAAAAATTTTTTTTTTGAGACATTTTTTTTTTTTTTTTTCTTGTCTAGCTCTGTAGACAGGGCTGGTCTCAATCTCAAAGAGATCCCCCTGCCTCTGCCTCCCGAGTGCTGGGATTAAAGGCATGCATCACCAATGCCTGGCCAAAAAATTTTTTTTTTGAGACATTTTTTTTTTTTTTTTTCTTGTCTAGCTCTGTAGACAGGGCTGGTCTCAATCTCAAAGAGATCCCCCTGCCTCTGCCTCCCGAGTGCTGGGATTAAAGGCATGCATCACCAATGCCTGGCCAAAAAATTTTTTTTTTGAGACATTTTTTTTTTTTTTTTTGTCTAGCTTTTTAAAAAGGGGGGGGCCCCATCTCAAAGAGATCCACCCGCCTCTGCCTCCTGAGTGCTGGGATTAAAGGTGTGCACCACCACCACCTGGCTTAAAACACTATTTTTTAATAGGAGTTATTTCATAAAGCAACAAACATAGGAGCATGTTTAACTCTTACAAAGAATGTACTATTATTACCATTTAAACAGATGCAGGACTAAGACTCAGTGTGGAGGTTTGAATGAGAATGGCCTCCTCAGGGTCATATATTTGTGTGCTTAATCAATCTCTAGCTGATTAACTGTTTGGGAGGAATTAGGAGGCATGTTCTTGTTGCTCGAGTTGTCACTGGGGTGCTGGTGGGGCAAGCCTTTAATCCCAGCATTGGGAGGCAGAGGCATGTGATCTGAGTTCGAGGCCAACCTGGTCTACAGAACAAGTTCCAGGACTGCCAGAGCTACACAGAGAAACTTTGTCTCCAAAAACCAAAACCAAACAAAAACAACTAATGCCAAGCCCAATGTCTCTACCCTGTCTACTTCTCAACATGATAACCATAGACTAACCTTCCAAAATTGTAAGCAAGTCCCCAATTAAATGCTTTCTTTTATAAGAGTTGGTCATGGTGTCTCTTCACAGCAACAGGACAGTAACTAAGACATCAAAGTTTAGAATTGTTCTCAGTCATATACCAAGTAAGAATATGGCTGCTGGACTGCAGATAGAGGGGCTCGAAAGCTGGGCTAAGAAGTCTGGATTTGAGTTTGCAGCAATAAATTGTTACAGCAAAGTCAATAAGTGGCTCACAACTGTCTATAATGAGATCTGGTGCCCTCTTCTGGTGTGTATGCAAACATGCAGGCAGAAACTGAAAATCTTAAAAAAAGAAAAGAAAAAGGTGGGAAGGAGACTGCACTTAGGCCAGGGAGCTCAACTTTGAAACTACTGAGATATTTGGCTAGAAGTGATTAAGAACCACTCTGCTATGCTAAACTAAGAATGAAATGGTGTATAAGAAGGATTTATGAGAAAATAAAGGAGGCAGATGTAACAGTATTTCAAAATTCATAAAATCTAGGGATGAGAAAGGTATGAACTTCAGGGAACAGATGATAAAAACTCAGCAGTATAGCAGCATGCACAAAGCCCTGCCTCAATCACAACACCACAAACAAGCCAACAAATAAACTGTCACACAATACAGACACAATCACTAGTTTCGGTCTCTGAAAGGCCCAAGTAAAGAATCAAAGGACATTTAAGATTACAAGTAGAGAACAGTCCTTTTGTTTAAAGCTGATGACCTTTTCTTTTTCCCAAATCCCCAATGAATCCAGAAAATACAAGACTTCATTCACTAGCTCATTAATAAAACCAACAGCAAAGGATAATTTCTACTTTTTAATATGTCCAACCTATGGTTTAATAATTTTTTTAACAGATCCAAACAAAAATGAGGGGGTTTCAGATCGAGGTTTCTTTGATAAAAATGTGCACTCAAATACAAAATCAGTAAATGTGACCTTTTCCCTGCATTGGAGTCTTTATAGGTCCATAATAAACCAAGCTATACACAAGTGCAGCCTAACAACTATGTGCAGAATCTCAGCATTACAAATGGGACAGGTTGGGCTGGAGATGGCTCAGAGGTTAAGAGCACTGGCTGCTCTTCCAGAGGTCCTGAGTTCAATTCCCAGTCACCACATGGTGGCTCACAAACCATCTGTAATGAGATCTGGTGCCCTCTTCTGTCGTGCAGGCATAGGTGGAGGCAGAGTGCTGTATACATAATAAATAAAATCTTAAAAAACAAACAAACAAAAAAACTAATGGGACAGGTCAGGCCAATCAGTAGTGTCTGAGGAGACCAAAGCTTTAAATTGGGTCCTGTTGAACCGGCATCTTACTGCCTGATTTTATTGAGTGCAGAATAAAACCCTGCAAAACACTAGCTTTCTCCGATCACAAAACGGATTTTCCTCCACGGACTTATTACCAGGGCAAGATACTACCTAACATCCAAATTTCACTTGCATGCAAGAAGGCACATAAGTACATCTGACTATGCACCAAAAACCCAATTCTTGGGGCTTGGCTCAGGACCTTCTGCTTTTCCAGAGAACCTGAATTCACCCACAGTACTCACGCCAAGGGGCTCACAACCTCCGTCGGATCCGAAGCCCTCTCAGCACCCATGTGCACAAACTCAATTAAACATGTCTGTGAGCATCAAAAAACAAACAAAAAACCTCACCATAAACTTAAAATGTTTACAAGGGTACAAAAAAGAGGGATGGTATTTCCAACCCCGTCCCCATACATACAAATTCATTGTTTTTGTTTGTGGCAGGGTCTCACTTTTTAAACCTAGACTAGCCTGGAACCCATGGTAATCCTCTTGCCCCAACCTCCTAAGTATTGGCCCTAAAGACAAGCGCAACCACGCCCAGCTGCAAATGCACCACCACCCCCATCCCCGAGACAAGGCTTTTCTGTGTAACAGCTGTAGCTTTATGGAATTCTCTTTGTAGACCAGGCTGGACTCTGCCTCCCGAGTGCTGGGATTAGTGAGCCACCAAGCCCGGCTTTTCAAACGCACTTAAAAAAAAAACAACCTATTTTTACTTTATGTGCATTGGTATTTTGCCTGCACCTAAGTCTGTAGGAGGGTGCCAGATCCCGGAGTTAGACAGTTGTGAGCTGCCATGTAGGTGCTGGGAATTGAACCCGGGTCCTCAGGAAGAACAGGCAACGCTCTTAACCACTGAGCCATCTCTCCAGTCTCAAATGCACTTTTTAAAGCTGTGAGTTTCCGGTTCCTCACAGGCAACCACGCGCCTCTGTGCCGCTAACAGGGTAGCCTCGGGCCGCCCGCTCCGAGTTTAGCTTTGGGAAGGCGGAGGAACCGCCACTGCCGTAACCATGCCGACCGGACCTCAGGGCCACTTCCGGCTCCCACGAGCGCCTGGACCTCACCCGCAGCCCAAGCGAGGCGGGAGGATGGTTCGTGCGGCCGGGAGGCCTCGGCCGGGCCGGCTTTACTCACTTCTTCAGTTCGGGAGGGTGGGCCTTGCTCATGGCGACTCTTCGGCGGGCTCGGCACTATGGAAAGGAGCGGGCGGCCTCACGAACGCGCGCGCAGCAGCCCGGGCGCTAGTGTCTGACGTCACCGCCGCGCGGGGCAATCGCCTTCCGGTACGCATTACCTTCATCTCGCGATACTGAGGGCGCTGGAACCGCCGCCACGCTTCCGGCTGCGTCGTCAGTGACTGGCTGGGACCGAGGGGCGGGGTCCCGGCCAGGCGGCCTTTGTGTGTGTGAAACCGAAGCGGCAGGTCCTGTACTTCTTTGCGCGTCACTTGCTTTCTTAACTTTTCCCTCTCCGTCGTTTCTCCTTTCCTTTCCGCTTCTCCCCTGCCCTGCTTCATTTTTGATGTAATTCATGCGGGCCTCGAGCGGAAGGGGCCGGGGCTGTCTGCATCCACTGCCTCCACAGCTTCACTTAGCACATCACAATCCCTGCACAGAAAATGGGAGGCGAGCCACACCAAAGTCCTGAGGTTTGAGCCTGCCTCTGCCTCCTGAGTGCCGGGATTAAAGGTGTGCCCTTTCCCAGGGGTGGGTGGCTCTGCCCTCAGTTAACTGGGCTTTCTCACATCAAGAAAACATCCCCGGAAGGCAGAGGCAGGCGGATATCTGTGAGTTCGAGACCAGCCTGGTCTACAAGAGCTAGTTCCAGGACAACCTCCAAAGCCACAGAAAAACATCCCCACAGACATGTTGTCTACAGACTTGTCGGTTGGAGGCAATTCTTCAACTGAGGTTCTTTCCACGTGACTAGTTTGTGTGGTTGTCAAAACAAACCAGTACAAACAGTCTCAATTTATACTCTTCCCCCCACTTGCTGCTAGTTGTAACTAGATTAACATACTAAAAAACTTGGCTTTTTATTTTTTTATTTTTTGAGGTCTCAGTATGTAGCCCAGGCTGTCCTCAAACCAGGGGTTCAATCCTCTTCCCCTAAACCTTAGAAGTACTGAGTTTACAGGTATGCATTCCTAATTTTTTTTTTTTCCTGGAGGGGATTTCGGGATGGGGTTTGTCTGTGTAGCCCTAGCTGTCCTCGAACTCATAGATTTTCCTGCCTCTGCCTCCCAAGTGCTGGACTAAAGTTGTGCCCCACCAAAGCTTGGCTCTGGGTATTTTCTACATTAACAGACTTTAAACTATGATGCTCTGACTTTATCTTAGTGTTTTCCATCCACTACTATGCACTCTCAGGATGTCTTAAAATTCAGAGACATACTGATAGATCACTACCAACTAGGAAAATGTTGGAGCAATGAAACTTTATTTAAAAACCAAACCACTTGGAAAATATATTGCAGGTTTGATAGCAAACTGACAAGTGTTATCACTATTTCAAGTAATTAATTGGTATGAATACAACATAGTACTTATCCAAAAGATAAGGTGTTATGTTGGGGCAGCAACACTGCACTGCAAAGCCCCAGGCAAAAAATGGCATTTGGTAATAGGTGTGCCTGTCTTGCTCTATAGTGGTCCTAGCTTCCCTTGGCCCAAGTTGCTTGCTTTTAGGCCTCCTTGTTGCTAGAAAACTATCTCTAAAAGGCTCTGTGAATTCAGGGGCTGAGGGAGTAATACTGGCTTTGGACTTTTGTTCTGTGAAATCTGGGGATATGTTACTTTGCTACACAAGTCAGAGAAGGAAGCTGTTTCCCATACACAGCATGATGCTACCCCACTTCTTCAGGGGCTTCTAGAATGACAAAATTTGAAGAACTAGGCTTTCCCATCTTGATGGCCAGAAAATACAAGGAACCTTTAGAAATCATTCAAGCTACTCTCCCACCTGTATCTTAAATCCATTTTGTGTCCTTTTAGACAACCAAACAGAAAAGATCTGGAAAGGAAACCTCTCCCCCCTCTAAATTACTAGTCTATTGGGTTTGCAAGGTGTGGTGACACTTGTGGTAAGCAGGTGCTTGGCAACAGACACATCTCTCCTCAAACTTTACCAGCAGGTTGAAGAAAGCTGCCAGCTTGATGTCTGTGCAGTAAGAATCGGAACCCTTGTTTAAGGGCAATCTCTACTGACAGAACAAGCACTTGCACATGAAAATTTAGAATCTAGAATTCTCCCCTGTGCTATCTGTGATCCATATTTTAGCACCAGCTTCTTTCCACTTCACTGTCTAAGATCCAGATGCAAAGGAACTGGTGTCCAGAGGTGAGTGGCATTTGTCTGGAACTTGCTGTGTCCTGAGTTTTCCTCATTCATAAACATTGCTTAACAGACTAAACTTTTCTTTCTTCCTTTTAAATATCGTGCCCTCAGCCCCATGGTCACTGGCAAACAATTTTATTTCCCGATGGATGACAGAGACTCCTTCATTTTTTTGGTCATTGTTGGGATGAGATTCATGTGGTCATCCACACACTTAGCCACACAGCTGTCCAGTTGTCGCTTCACCTGCAGCTCCTTATTTCCTGCATCTATCGAGTCTTTGGCTTTGTCATTGCAATGCATGGTGCACCGGGCCAGGCGGTCCTGTGGTGAGGAGGAAGAGAGAGGGGAAGGCTGAGAGTTTGGCTTCCATCGTCTGAATGTTGGTCCCATGTTAGTTCTTGGGCTACAGGCTTCATACAGATTGTTTCTCTGCCAGTTACTAAGTGCAGTATTTTCTTAGCTAAAACATAAGATACCACTGGAAAGGCTCAGACTAAGCACTGTTAGAAAGCAGAGGAATGAAAAAAAAAAAAGAATTTTATTCAAGATGCTTGCAGCAAACAAAAGACTATTAAGTTTTTCTTTTCTTCCATTTTTTCATGTGTGTGGTTTTGGATGTGTATTTGTGGATATGGAGGCCCAAAGTACATATTGGGAACCATCCTCCATTGTTCTTCTATATATTCACTGAAGACCCAGAACTCACTGATATCGCTAGTCTTGCTTGCCAGCCTCCTCTAGAGAGTCTCTGCTTCTGCCTTTTGAGGCTGGAATTACAGGTGGGCTGCCATGCCAAAGAGACAATGGTTTCTGGTAAACAGAACTGAGCATGCTTGTGTGGCAAGTGCTTTCTTTAACCCCTGAACCATCTCCCTAGCACACATTTTAATTCTTTAATGTCTGTCCTTGCTGTAGAAAAACAAGTCAAACATTTGCCAAGCATCTACTGTGTGCCAGGCTTTCTTGTGATGTGACATCAATACAGAAATGAGTGCAGGATAAATGTTCCTGTTCACGTGGAATTTACAGTCCGGTGTAGAGATGTTAAGAGATCGGGATATGTGAATCGGGAGTTCAGGAGTGAGGTCTTAAGGCCAGAGCTGTCAGGGATATCTAACATCTGGTTTCTCTTGGCCATACTGTTATCTACACTTTATGTTCAAGAAATATAAAACTACTAGGTGTGGTAGCACACACCTTTAATCCCAGCACTCGGGAGGCAGAGGCAGGAGGATCTCTGTGAGTTCGAGGCCAGCCTGGTCTCCAGAGCGAGTGCCAGGATAGGCTCCAAAGCTACACAGAGAAACCCTGTCTCGAAAAACCAAAAATAAATAAATAAAAATAAAATGACTTAAAGGAGCAATGCTTTCTTGTTATTACTTCACAATGACCAGGCCTTCGAAGAGTTTTGTACATCAGAGTGTGTACAAAACTTCACCTTAGGTATAACTGACATGAGAATGGAAACCAGGGCTAGTGCTTGCTTCTAAATCCCACAAAACACACTTGAGGATGGGAGGAAAATGAAGGTATGGACATTTTTGTTGTTGTTGTTCCAGGAGAGAAAGAGAGATTTATAGTACACTGTAGGGGCCTGGTGTCACAGGTTTGTAATCCCAGCACTTGGGAGGCTGACACAGTAGGACTGCTCTAAATTTCAGGCTAGCCTGCGCTACAGAGCTGAGACCCTGTTTCAAAAGCCTGTAGAATACAAATGCTTCTGAAGACTGAGCTTGAAGCCTCTCTCCAGGTGTCAAATAGGGGACATTCTGTGGAGGGTTTAAGTCTCAAATACCATTAAGATCTCACTCTAATCTGAACCTTTTAAAGTAAGTGTGTGTGTGTGTGTGTGATATGCCACTAAGATGAGAGGACAACTTGTGGAGTTGGTTCTCTCCTTTCCTCTTTATGTGGATTCTGGGGATCAAACTCAAGTTGCTAGACTTGTATGGCAAGTACTGAGCTAGCCACTAATTTACATCTTTTTAAGACTAATACCTTCCTCAGTCCATTTTTTAGGAAATTTCATTATTTTAAAAGATGAATCATGAAGTCACATTCTTAGCTGATGGGCAGGTTTTTTTTTTTTTTTTTTTTTGAGATAGGGTTTCTTATGTCTAACCTGGAACTTGCTCTGTAGACCAAGCTGTCGTCAAACTCAGAGATCTTCCTGCCCCTGCCTCCAGAGTGCTAGGATTAAAGGGTGTACCACCACTGCCAGTTGGACAGCTTAAAACAAAATTTTTATATTTGTGTCCTTGAATATATGTATATGTACCATCTGCAGGGATCAGAAGAGTTGTCATATCCCATAGAACTGGAGTTGCAGATGGTGTGAGCTGCCATGTGGGTGCTGGGAACCCAACCTGGGTCTTCTTTAAGACCAGTAAGTGCTCTTATTCACTGAGCTATCTCTCCAGCCTGAGCTACTAGTGGTTAAAGGCTGCTGCAGGAAGAAGAGTAATTTTCCTTTAGTGATGTCACCACTGTTAAATTGCCCATTCTGCAGAGAGAAAAGTCCCATGCCCATGCTCATGCAATCAACCTTAATTAAATCCAGAGGACACAGTTAAAACAGGAGGAAGACTTGTAAAAATGGGTTCAGGAGATTGGGGGCATGGGGGTGAGGAGTAAGAATGTTTTCAAAATACATTCCATGTGTGAAATAGTCAAAGAATGAATAAAAAATAATTGAGTTTATGTTTTACTTTTTTTTTTTTGGTGATTTTTACCTTTTAAGTGTATGAGTGTTTGCCTAAGTATGTCTTCACCACATGTGTATAGTGACCACAGAGGGCCAAGGAGGGCTTCAGATCCTCTGTGACTGCAGTTATAGATGGTTGTGAGCTACCATGTTGGTGCTGGGAACTGCCCCTCTGGAAAAACAGCCAGTGCTCTTAACTGCTGAGCTACCTCTACAGCCCCAAGTTAATATACATTTTAAGGAGTTTTATCCTACACAGCATAGATTGTATTTGGCATTCAGCACATCAAATGACAACCAAAACGGCATAAGGATGCTTGGCTATAAATTCCCTTGGTCACTTTCTATTACTATGGAAAAATTACATTTCTGTGGGAAAATATGGCACAACTTAAAAAGCACTCAACTCCCAGGGCTATTTCCAAAATTTCAAATCCCAAGAATACCAGTTAGCCAAAGGGTTGCCACCAGTTTTAACAGAACCAAGGCCCTGAAGCAGAATAAATGAGTCTCATCTCCCGCCAAAGAGCTATTGAAGGACTTGAGAACTCTGAGGCATTCCTCACCTGGAACCTTTCCAGTTCACTGGTCACCAAGGCCTGGGCTTGAGCTAAAGGCGCATGGCAGCGCTCGATGCATTGGTGCACCTGCTGCATAGATGCCTGGTTATCCTCACAGCAGTTGGCACTGCACCGGAACATGAGGCCCTGGGGAGCGAGGGCAGAGCCTGGTTATAAAGGAAGACTCCGAGGACCGCCCACCAGGGACTACAAGGGCTTGGAGGCTACGTTTCTACCTGTATGTTCCTCGCCACCCTCTGCTTCACTTTCCCTAAGAATATCATCAGGATTTCATAAGACTGGGACGATCACCGGGCCTAGCATTTGTAGGATGAGGATATATGTTCTTCGGAGAGCGCCTGCCTAATTCGAGGACAGCCCTGTGTTCCATCCCGCACCGCATAAACACCAGGTTGGTGGCTCATGCCTGTAATCCCAGCACTCCGAAGGCGGAGGCAGGGAGACCAGAGGTTGGAAGCCAACCGGGGTTAAACGAGACGCTGTCTATTGCTACTAGCTCACTGGTACATAACGCACCCAAGACTGGGCGGAAGAAAACACGTTCTGAAAACCAGGTATCTGCAGCAGAGTTCAGAGGTCGGCCTGGCTAGTCAACGCCCCACCAGGGGACAACCCACACGGAGAACGGTGGGCTCGCTAGTTTAAGAGAAGCCAGCAAGGAAAGGGAGGCGGGGCCGCGCCCGTGGTGTTCAGGGTTCCTGGCATCTGAACCAGCACAGGACAGCACGAAGAGACTTCGGCCTGGTGGTTCTCTTGAGCTGGGTCCTTGGGGCCTCGTGCCGGATCACCCCAGCTGCGGCCGAACACACATAACCAAGGCCAGGCAGGAAGAAACGGCCCCGCGCGAGAGGCCCTGGGCTCAAACCCCACCGCCCCACCCCGCCCGAGCTTTCCAATGCCATCCCCGTGCGGGGCCGCGCCGCTACCTGCATCTTCCGAATGTTCTCTCTCTCCACACTTTTCACCATGGCGTCCACAGCCTCCTGCACTCG